GGAGTGTCAGGAACTCAGTAGATTGGTTCAATGAATGAACGAAGCTTCTATAAAACATAAGCTATTATTAAGATTTAAAGAAAAACAGACCTCTTGCATAAAGCAAAGAAGGTGTGGAGGGAAACAAAGATCCTATTGCAGTAGTTCAGATGAAGTCAAGGACCAGTGGGGATAGAGGAAAGATGGGAAAAATGCCAAAGATTTAGTGGGGGAGTCAATAAGGCTTGATGGAAGAATACTAATAACTACCTTTTAGTGAACACTTTTTAGGGGTTGGGCACTACATTCATTGTATCAATTAATCCTTACAACAATCTTTTATGGGAGACCTTTGAAAAATATTCCCACATGGAGTCTGCAACAATTTTCCTTTCCAGGAAAGCAAACAAGGTCATGGCTATTATCTACAATTGTTAAGCAAGGGTCGCTAGGGTCTATGTGTTTCTTTTATGAAATAAGCTACCTACAAAGAGTCTTCAAGTTCATGGAAAGATTTGTATTATCTTTTAATTCTATTTTTCCATGAACTTTTGAAGTACTCCCAATATTTGCAACAGGGAGAATGTGCAGCAAATCCCCTGCCTTCTGGTTTGGAAGTCATGTGTGCTTACATGTTTATTTTCCATAATTGTGGTGGTTTAAAATATGTCCACAAATTCTTTGACACTTCTCCTTTCGAGAGGTAGCACCTAATTTATTTCCCTTTTAGCGTGGGCTGGGCTTAGTGACTTGGTCCTAATGAACAGAATAAAGCAGAAGTGTTGGTGTATGGCTTCCAGTGCTAGGTCATAAAAGGTACTGCAGCTTGCATAGAGCACTTGTTTCTCTCTCTTTGCCTCTATCTCTCTCTCTCTCCTGGATCCCTTGCTCTGAGTGAGCTACCATGTCATGAGCAGCCTTATAGAGACACCCTGCATTGAGAGCTGGGATCTTCTGCCAGCGGCCACGTCAGTGGGCTTGCAAGAGGATCCTCTAGCCCCCGTCAAGAGTTCAGATAACTTCAGACCTGGCTGACTACTTGACTGAAACCTAATGAGATACCCAAAGCCAGAACTATCCAGCTAAGTGGCAACCAAATTCCTGACACTTTGGAAACTATGTGAAATGATAAATGCTTGTTTGTTTTTTTTTTTATTTTTATTTTTATTTTTTGGTCTTTTGTCTTTTTCCGTGTCCGGCAACGGATCGCAACCCTCAGTGT